TGTTGGGGCTCATTGCAGCTATTGGAAACCCAGCTGAGGGAATTTGGGGTGTTACTCATCACAGCCTACGGCCGACACCTACCTCCAGGTAAATCCTACCCAAAAAGTCCCAGGCTGAGGCTCCCCACTGCTTGCATCGCCCCTGCAAGCCCAGCACGAGTCCTTGCACCGACCATGCAGCATGGAAACAGAAATGCAACTCTTGAGTCTTCCAGGCAATCACTTCACAGCTTTAGCTGAAACACCGTGAATGCCATGAACCACAGATCAGGGAGACGAGGCGCTTGAAGTCAGATATGATGGACAGCTTTTTATTTCCCAATGTTTTAATTTAACAAAGTGCTACATTCCATAGTTACAGTATGAGGAGTTGTTCTTGTCCGAAATAGAAAACCACAAGAAAGCACTAGGACTGCTAATATCGCTCTATGGAAGCAGTGCAGTCCAGAGAAACCTCACCTAGGGTGGGCATCTGGCACAGGAGACACCTTAAAAAATCAGCAGCTGTCGAGTGCAGGTGCATTTCATCAGGGCAAGAGCTGCACGTCAGGCAGGCTGGTTCCTCCTGCTGGAAATGGGCTGTATGTGCCAAAGCGGTTGTGTGATGCCTACAATAAATTCTGCCTTGTGCTATTAGGAAAACCCAAAACAGAAGCGAGCGACTAGTCTTGTGCTGAGTCGAGAGATTATTATTGCTGCAGCAAAGTCACCGTCGCAGCCGTGCCTTTGCACGGGGCCAAGGCTGCGTCAGCAGTGTCACAACCCACCTCTACATTCAGGGACTCACGCTTCACCTAGCACGGAGGACGAGGAGGGCACTTCTTGGCTGCTTTTCTTACCCTGCCTCTTTCAAAAGAATCTGCTTGTTTGGCAATGCAGAGGTATAGATTAAATCAGTAGAGCGTTAAGAGGCTGGAGGCTTCAGCTCCCACCTGAAACCCTCCTCCCCTCCCTGCCTGCAATCTGATAATTTCAAGCAAATGAATCAAAGTCCAGGAGTTGTATAGAGAATATTTTTAAGAGCCCAATCCAAAGTCTACTGGCCTTGGATGAGAAGGGAAGGAGCTGAATGATGCTTGTGCTTTAAGGACCTCCAGAAATTACACTGACGTCAGGGGCACTGCAGAAAACCCTGTCTGTGCTCCAAAGGCTCCTACAAGCTTCACTGGGACCCAAGGCTGGTTTTGACTGTCCATCTTGCCTCCGCGTTGAGAATAGCTAAGCTGAAGACGTGGGGAGCCTCCAGGCTCTGGGGCAGGTGCCTGACCAAAATCAACTATTCAACAAACACCTCCACTTCAAATGGACATCGCTTGGGATCTCTCTGCACTGCTGAGCGGCTCAGAAAGTTGGCCAACAGTAGTCTTCTGCCAACGAGCAGCTCCCAACCAGGGCACCTTGGTTGATGGTGTTCAGAGCCAGAGACAGGCCTGGGAGCAAAGATGGACCACAAGCAAAATTTTTGGGCAGCCCTTCTAGCCCATAAGTCTGGCTCCAGCACAGACCAGAGAGCCAACACTGAACTGTGCATGCAGCTGGACCTCCCTTTGGGCTCCAACCCTCCTGCTTGCCCAGTTTGTCCCACCATACTTGCCATATAACTGCTCCAATATTTGCAACTATTTGTCAGCCCCATTTGCGGCACTGCTATTTCCAGCATCCCAGTCACCCACGCCATGTCCTCACCGAGTGAAGCCTGGTTCTTGAGGACACCAGGGCGCCCAGCCGATGCAATAAAACACCACCTTCGTCATTCTGACCAGCAGCGTTGCCTTTAATTTCTTAAGTTCATTATGTTGGGGAGGGAGAAGAAGAGAGACGGTGAAACTGATTGCCACTGTAGAAAGTCAGTGTTTCCCAAACGGTGGATTTATTAGCACAACGAAAGGCCATGGCACCTCCCCACCAGCCTTCCCAATCCATCAAGTTGACAACCCATCCATAAATCTCTTCCTGCGCTGCCAGAGCTGGGGTACTTGCACTCAGACCAGCAGCCTCGCTCAGCCATCCCTCCTCCTCCTCCTGACTGGCCCAGGAGCTCTGTGTTTTATCGGTCGCTTAACACAACTTGTGCCGTTATCACACACTGCGCAGGCACAGTACCATTAACAGGAGAGCAAGAGGAGGCTGTCCTTCACAGGCTGTTATTGCACAAAACCCTGCTGATCTCCAGCTGCTTGGGTCTTGCTGGTACATCTGCTCTGTTCTGCAGTATCACTGCCAGCACCTCTTTTCCAGTGTTATTTCGGGTCTCTCTTTCAGGCTACAGTTGCATGCAAAGGTCTCAGCCAGCCCAGTTACCATCCTTTCTGCTCCAAGACAGACTCCCTCTTGCAGAGAGGCCAATGCCCTTTGTCACTGCTTATTCTCCATGCCTCCCTGGCTGGACCAGGGTAAAGCAGTTCAAGAACATCTTGCAGCTGCCTATGTAGTCTTGTTTCCAGCCTGTCTGGTGCTGTACCTAAAAGACAAGTCTTTCTGGAGATGATCTCCAGCAAACTGGAATGGAGGAGAAGTCATTCCACCTTGCCACCCCCATCATGCCTTGCCAGGAACAAATCAACAAAGAGCCTGAGGGACAACAATTCCTGATTCCCAAAACTGCAGGACAGCCAGCAACGCTCAACTGGACTGTTAACACCTCCCAACCACCTCCAAGCTCCAAGAGACTTGGGAATGAGAAGAAAATAAGGAGAGATCAGTCTGGAAGGCAAACTTCTTAGCTTGGACTGATCACCTATTACGGAAGAAAGAGGCTTTAATTTTGGGCAGAGGCACCTGGACTTAACAGTGGGCTGCCAGTCAGTGCCCGTTAAAGACATGGGGCTGCTTTTAGTAAGGCAAAATTCTCCTGGTCAAAGTTTCAGGAACAAAAAGGAAGAGATGCAAGCACTGTGGAGCCCTGACTGGGAAAGCCTGTCCTAGTGGGATTAGGGTATGAAGACTCCCCAACATGTCGATGGACCGGGTTTTACTGTGTCTCCCCCAACCTGCTTCCCACGCACTCAGCGGGATCAGTGTGTGAGGGACCACGCACAGCTCTTCGACTGGAAGACTAGCATTAGCAGCAGCATTTTGAAACCAGGTTGTCCTGCCTGTCCTTCTCCAGGTGACTCAGTAGATGTGTAGGTAAGGCCTACAGGAAAGTACCTGGGCTCTGAAGAGCACTGCTTGTTCGGAGCTGAACATCACGTCTGATGACTTAATGTCCAGAGGAGGCCCTGGCCCTCCCAAGAGAGAACTCAGCTTCAGGCGGGTCTTCCGAATGTCCTCTCTACCTTGCAAACCCACTCACATGCCCACGAGACATTTGCTTACCATCATCGACATCCACCCTTCACAATCTGACAGGCCTTTTCACCTTTACAAGGAATGAAATCCTGCATCTGCCCCTCCTCAAACTCTCCTCCCTTCCACTTCTTCGAAGACTCAGTGGGCTTTAATCTCCGTAGATGTGTGGTCTGGCCTTATTTGTCTAATCAGGTCTCCTCCGGCAACAGTCGCTGTTCCTTGTATGAAGGATGATTCCCCACAGAACAGTGATCCCCACCTCAGAAACGTGGATGTTTTGCATAAGTGTCAGATTGAAGTAATTTCACAACTGGAAGCAGAGATAAAGTAACACAGCCCTTTTTCTAGCTATTTTGACAGCATTTCTGTGCAAAGCAACATTAGTTTCCCCTGCTCGGTTCCCGTAACATCTCAGACACTGGCCGTCTCCCCATGCAACCCGGCGCTATCAGCCCAGGCAGCACCGCAGCTTGCCCTCACCCCGTGCCACCCTTGGGTTTCACCTCCACAAACCTCTGCAGCCATCTGTCCTACAGCTTCACCTTTTCCCCCGTGGCCAAGGGTTCCCAGTGTGACCATTTCACCTCCCCACAGCAGACATCTCTCCAGCTGTGGCTGCTGCTGCTTTCCGACTATTAGCCACAAATCCCTCAACCCTGACAGTCACCCGCTCTGCAATCTTTGGTGCCTTTCTGCATTCAGTGCTCTGGAGACAAGACCCATCCAGATCCCCCGAAGGTGGGATTCATGGTGGTGGTGAACCCACATGCCGTTCACGCAGCTTTCAGGGGCTGAAAATGCAATTCCAGTGTGTAAAGGAGACAGATGCTCCGCTTTCATCTCTATGTGAATGCAGCCTTGTGAAAGAGATGAACCAATAACTAGTGTCCTTCAAAGAGGAGGCAGAAGCTGAAGAAACCTCTGACCTGCCTCTTCCCTTACCGACTTGCACACTGAACAAAAGCCAAGAGATCCATGCAAGACTATCCGTCAGTAGGTGAGCGCTGGTATTTATTGTGCTGTAACAGACAGTGCTGGTTGAAAATGGACTAGGATTTTTGTTGTGAATCAAGTGTTGAGGCCATTCCCGTGTGTCTCCAAGAAGCGTGGAGCAGAGCTGAAGGAAGAAAGAAGGGGTGAGAGTCGGGGAACCGAGTGCAGAAATGTGCTTCAAACTGTATCAACAACACTGTACTTGGGCACTTCTCAGGTGGCCAGGGATACAGTTCAAGTGCATAACTCATTAATTAAGCAGAGCAGCTAATCTTAGCACTAATGAACTCTAGCTCAGGTAATGTAACATTTAAAATTAACAAATTGAACAGAGTCCTTCACAGTAAAGATTTCCATTCTGGGGTTAGGCGAGAGCTATTGTTATGATTAGATTACTGCCAGCCAGGACCAAAACAGTACACGGGGATAATAGGAAAATAATCATCCATATGTATCAGCTCCAGCTGTAACAAGACGCGCTGTGAATCTGAATGAGGCGCCGGGTGCGAATGTGAAATCTCACTACTGTATCAAAATAAACATCACTGCACGGTACACATAGAGCACAGCATGCCGTTTCGCCGGGGTGGTACCGACCACTGCTCGGTGGCTCGGGGCGGCGGAGAGCAGCGATGCAGCAGAAAGTCACTTGTTCTTTTTCTCTCCCTCCCTCCATTTAAAAGTCACGGGCTATCACAAGGGCACTGCAGTTCGACTCAAAATTCATCTTCGGAGCTGTCAGCTAAGAGCATGACTCGGTCTTGCATGCTGTTAAATTCCCTCTGCTAGGGAAGGAAAAGAAACATTGAAGAGCTCCACATGCAAAAAAGGAAATGAAGAGCATTCGGATCCCCCCCCATACTCTAACCAAGAGGTCCCGCGCACTTCAACCCAAACCATAACCATAACCAGGCCGCGCTCACTTCACAGCCAAAATGGTTAACAGGGGAGTGGGTGGGATTGGGGTTTCCCTTTACAGTGGCCATACCTTTCTTTTATGTCTCTTTGAGCCATTTCTCCTTCGGCGATTCATAATCTTAATGCTGTAGAGTGCTCCTAGGATAAAGAGGGCTCCGGCTATTCCGACTCCTACGGGAACCAGCATCCCCGACATGTATCCTGCCTATGTGGAAAAGAGAGAAGCAGAGCAGCACTCACAAGACCATCCTTTCAGAGTCATTTTTCACCAGTCTAGGACTGCAATATATCCTTACGCTGCTTTCATCAAAGTTTATTTTAATTGAGTCTCTATCACCTGCCTGCACAGGATGATGAACCCTGCTTCCAGGATTGCTAAGCAAGCCCCCAACCAGCCCCACTCCGGGACCAAGCTGGTAACCACCATGGCTCACTCACCGTCAGCTTTTGCTAACAGATACCTCCTTGTGGTAGCTGAGACACTGCAGTGTTTGCCCGCCTTTAGGAGAGGAAACAATTCTGGTGCAGAGTTGCAAGTGCTGCGGTGAAGTGTCTGTTTATACGCGTGCACGTGTGAAGGAAAACCTTGACCGCCAAAGGCAGGCAATCTTGAGCCACAACAAAGACCTGTGACCACCCAAACAGCTTCACTACACGCTGTGTAAAGTAGGCTGCGCGCTGCTCCGAGCTCCCCAGGTACCACCGGCATAAATCAAGGCACAGGTATATGTCTGGCCCTGTTCAACAGAGCTCAATCCGGAGAGCCGAGAGCTGCCATTAACGCTTTTCGGCACGAATCCGGACTAGCAGCACGGCGCCGAGTGGTGCGGTGATGAGTGCCTTGGGCACCCCACTGCCCACAGCCCTCCGCACAGCAGCCCTCGGGGCGGCAGGAGCAGGCAGAGGAGAGCACGGCGCGGGCAGAAGAGCCAGTGTGTAAGAGCCACCGGGCGAGGCGGCAGGCACCAGCCGGGGAGCGGGCAGAATGGGCGAGGAGCTGTTTTTGGAGAATGGCTGCACTTGCGAAGCAGTGACACGCTGACCTCCGTTTTGGGAGGTGGATGGGAAGGGACCCAACATCCTCCTGGCCAGCTCTGATTGTTGGAGTGTGTCTTACCGTGGCCAAACTGCTAAATATACCTCCAGTAAAGAGTATTACACAGCTCCCGTGCTTCCCAGAGACACGTTGGCATGGGAAAGCAAGTGCCCTGGGACACTAATGTCCTATCTCAGCACAGGGACGGCCAAAGCTGCTCCCAACGCCTGCAGCTGGGTCTCTGAAGGAGCTGAAACACGAAGCCAGGCTGTGCTCACTTTTGCAGGAAGAAGAAGCATTTTGCCCTCTCCCTGCCCAGCCCAGCCTGAGCCTCCTCGGCTTTGTACTCAAAATCCTTGAACCAAACGCTTTCCCTTTGCATGCGAAGGGGGTCGCTTGCATGAGCAGGACAATGACACAGAGGGAGGGCATGCACACCTTCAGCTGGCCTTCAGGGAAGCACAGCAAATGTAAATCAGCTCTAATTCAATAGCTGTGATCCATACGTTTGCATTGCCCAATAAAAAATATGAAGCATGAGTAATTTAAAATTACACATTTAAACATTTAAAATTACACATTTAATCATTTAAAATCCTTTGGAAAATATTCCAAATATATATTCCAAATATGTTATTTTATATTTTACTGTTTGAAATGAAAATTAACCCAAGTTTTAAAGTGCCGAATTGCTTCAGCATCCTCTTCAGCATCCTCACCTAATTCAGGCTGAGGGGGCTCAATGGAGTAAGGGAGGCAGGTACAGCCTGGCTCCCTCCCTCATTAGTGCTGCCTTCATTCACACTGCAGCAACAGAGTCCTCTGCTGTGGCACTACAGCTTCACCCTTCGCCATCTACACCCCCCAAAATAGATTTTACACCTGCCAGGGGAGACGTGCACAATTCGGAGGACTATCAGACAGCTCTTAGCAAGCCTCAGTCCATTGCTTACAACCACTCATCTTCATCCGCGTTCCCAAACTGCAACACAACTTAACAACAAATGCTTACACCGTAATTGCTTTTCTGCTATAATCCACTGACGGGGGGTGTGTGTGTGTGGGGGGGAAGCTATTCAGTGTGCGCTGCCCTGGCTTCCTACGCTTACCTGGAGAATGAAAATAACTGCTTTCATCTAGGGCAGATGCAACGCTAACAAGGCTGGTTTGCTCTCCCAAACCCCTCCTGCTTTAAATAGTAACAACTTTGTGCCTGGATCCCAAGGCTTGAGGGATCTTCAGCTGCATCTTGCAGGTTCCCTGAATGCCCTCGCAGAAAACCCAGCCCCGCTCAGCACACATGCTTGGAGGGGGGCTGCGTGCCTGCACCCCAGTTCCCAAAAAAGGAGGTTAGCGAGAACGCAGCTAAGAGACTGTATCTCTGCGAGGCAATTAAGGTGCCTTAATTGGGTGACCTAATTAGTGCAGCGTGGGTTTTTCTATTTCTGGAACTTTGCTGCTGGCGCTGGCAGTGAGGGGAGACTGGAAGAGGCTTTTTAGCTGCTGCCCGGCTGAGTTTCCATATCAGAAATCACTGGTTTTAACACGGTGAACTCTCTAGCCCGCCCGTGAGCCTTCATCACGCCTGGCCAGCCCATGCCCTTTTACAGGCCTCCCCCAACAGCTGGACCAACGATTCCTATCCCAAAAGCCTGCAACGTGAAACAGATTCAGGACCTGTTCTCCCAGCCCTTCTGTGTCACACAGCCCAACTCATGAGGGCTTCTGCACTTGCCTGATAGGCTACCCCATTTCACAGGCAGCTCCGAAGCCACTTTTTTACCCCCTGCCCATGGGGAAGATGCAGCTTCTTTGCAGGTCCTAGGGATGCTTTTAATACACCCAATCTATGACCATGACCTTCCTGGCTCCACTGGACTTTGAGATAAGAGCAACAGAGGACTTCAGAGGAATCTCATGTCCATTATTTGGCATCCCAAATGCAACATTTGCACAGTATTTGCAGGAGACTGGACTTAAATCTGTCACTGACCCGTGCTCCTGCTCCCACGCTCCCCACACCCTTCCCTCTCCCAGCAGGGCAGCCCTGATGGACACAGGAGGACACACCTCTCAGGGATGGGGCCGTCATGTGCCAGGATACTCTTTTGGATGGCGGGATTGTAAAATAGAGAGGACAGGGCTCTGCCAACAGCAAATGAGAGGGGCACATATTACGACTGGTGCTGATAAACTCAATATGGAAGAGGAGGAAACGGGGTGAGCAGGTTTATTTGGGAGTGATTTGCTTCACCAGCACTTGGTTGAGGGTGGGGGAGTGGTTTTTGTTGGGCTTTTCTAAGGGAAAATGTGAGCAAGGTGAAAGATCTGCCTCCACACATCTGCCGTTCCCCAAAGGAGGGAGATGGCTCAGGGCTGAGTCTCTCTTTGAAGTGGACACTAGCAGATCCCCACTTACACCAATGCTCGTGCTGGGCACTGCCATGCAGCCCAACATCTACCTGTAAGAGGTGCAGACACTACAGAGCAACTCTGTTGGGAGGCTGGACCATGCACCGCCCCCTCTGCAATGGGGAAGGACAGAGGTAGCCAACAAGGTGCCAAGAGGAAAGAAGTGAAAGCTACGGCTTCAGTGAGAAGACACCTAATGCCCCCGAGCTTGTGTTGTGCCGGCTGGGGTAGGTTTGGCACGAGCAGATGAGCCCTGCACGCTACATTCACTCCAGGCACTCAACCAGTCTTGGTGTCTGCTTTTTACCTTCGTCGGGAAAACCATTCTCTGTCCTTTCAGCATTCGCTCTGGCTGAATCCCAGGCCAAGGTGCTCTGCTATGAGCATAGGTCACACTAGACATGCCTCCTTCCTATTGTAGGCAGAAAAGCAACTCAACAAGGGCTGGGCAGGAACCCCCCTTAACCCTTCCACTCCCCAGTCCTGGAAAACAGATACCGAGACCCCGTCCCTCTGTTCAGATTTGATGGTAAGGTGCTGCTGAAATTTGGTGGGGATCACGTGGGGAGGCTGGGCTCATTCAGTGACAATCTGCTCAAGCTTAGAGATGTATTTTGAGGGGCTGGAGTTTCCTGTCGAGTCATTATTCCTTGTGGTGGTTTTTTTCTATACTAACTCTGACCCTGTTCAAGAATTTCCAAGCCCTGTTGAGTCACAAAATGTTCTTGTCTTAAAACACTACCTCATTTCTAGCTTCATGGCTTTGCCGTCATCAACACAACATTTGGAAGGTTTCACAACTGTTTCAAAATGTTAATATTTGCCCTAGCGCTGCGGAGCCTAAAAAGCCATCACTGCCTGTGGCTGGCACAGCTCTTGATTTCATGTGCCACCACCCTGTAACGCCAGGGAGAAAAGATCAGGGTCTGTTATCTTTTCAGTCTTCCTGTGTTTGCTCTTTTTCCTTCCAGGAATTTTCAGCTCTTCTTGCATGTGGAGGCAGGAAAGGTCTCATCCAGAGGCGGTGGCGTGGCATGCAGCCTCTCACCAGAGAGGATCACCAGGTCCTCTTGACTTGGATCTAGAACCACGCTTAGGACTTAGAGAAAAGGGGTGAAGGTAAGTTAGAGGGCAATATAAAAAAGTAACTCAGAAGTCTGACGAGAAGGTGATTTTCTAGTGCAGATAAGTCTATCAAATACCCCTGTCCCTCCTTCTGCTCTTAGTTACCACTCATCAGGGATGTACTGTGGATTTACACCACTATATACAACAGCAGCATCTGGTTCATTTGCCTCCCAGAGAAAATTTTAAGCCCTTTCTCAATTGTCTTTGTAGAGATAATGGACTGCACTGACAAGAGTTTATTTATTCCTGCAAGTAAAAATGTTTTTCCTTTTAAAGTAATTGAAACACTGAGCCTCCTACCTTATCTTTCAGCTTCTCCATCCAGCTTCTCACTGAAAAATAAGACAAAAAAGCTGTAATCATGTTATTTATGTTATATTAATTAGTAACGAATGATAATGATAGTATTAAAATAGACACTAATTAACTTGACAAGCTGATAACACTTTTCGTTAGATTTCCTCTCTTCTCATTCATGGAAAAGAGCAAATGCAGCGAATCAACACGAGAAACTCTTCAAGCGAGTTGGCAGGCAAGCAGCTTGCTTTTGCCTGTGCAATTGACATCTTCAGAGTGATTAAAAAAGGAAGAAGAAAAACAGTATTTCAGGCTGTGGGTTTTTAACCAGCACTTCTCATACAAACAGTGGGATGAAAACCTTACAGCGTGGCTATCCCCTTCCACTGGCCTCCTCCACATAGATATTCTTCCCTCTCTTTGGCATAGCCTGTAACGATGCCTAAAAAAGTGTTATTCCCTGTCTTTTATTCCCCTGCTTTTCTGGAAGCAGCCACTGCCTACTCTGGGAAGTCACCAGATAATATCTGAGGACTGGGATAGCACTGGAGGTGCTAAATTACTAAACCAAGTAAATTTATAGTGCCATCACAGAGACGTTCATTTCCTAACAGTTAATATAAGTGCCATGAAATATGATACCCAAGAATTAAAAGTCTTTAATGGCATGTACTTTGGGATGAAATATTCAGCTAATCTCAAAGAAATGCAAGCGCTTAGCAGCGGGTGCACGACTCATTAACTCCACAGGCGACGGGGTTCGTCTGCACTGCACCGAAGACAAACTGCTCAGCCTTTGAGACATCCGCTAGTGTTTTAACGAATTCCTACTCATAGGTAAGAGGCAAGAAAACTCTTAAACGTGGGGTTTTTTCAGGGTTCTGCAACTGTGTTTTAAGCCCTGGTCAAGGATCCCCATTTCTCCAGGAGGACAATGCTACAGGCACAAGGGGACTCTTGGATGCACCAATGTCCTTCCGAGGGATATTTCTCCCAGGATGCATTAGATCCCAAATGTAACACACCGTTTATGGAGTGAGACCCTATTTCCAAGCCTGCTTTCTTATAGAAGCTCCCGTCAAAGCTTGCATTAGCAGTATTAGAGCCTGTCTGTTGGCACATGTACATACACCCCTCAGGGTAACCATCCTACTGAACGAGAGCCTTACTGTGAGTGGGGAGGGTGCAGCAGTAGGGCCATCAGTAAGTGGCTTTTTTATGTCTCAGATACAAAACGGAGAAGCACAGCAGCTGGGAAATAACAGGACTCGGCCCAGATGTCAGCATCGCTGAATTAAACTGCATCATTTTAACAAGTTCCAAGTGATTTGAACACTCCCTTTTTAACTATTAGTAATATAACACTTTTCAAACAGAAGGATCCCAAATTACCTAGAGGTGAAGAAAGTGTGAAACAGGCACAGGAGCGTACACACAAACTCACCTGTCTCTGACAGGTAGCTAAGAAAAAAAATTAATTATCCGGGAGACTTACTCAGACACCCACAGCACTAGAAGAGGACAAGACGTCTACTTTTACCAACTCTTCCCACCATTAGTACTGACCTGCATGGACTAAGCTGTAGTAAACTCAATTGATGAAGGTGCCATCACCATGATCCTCTGCCAGTCCAAGCCTGCACGCCTTGAATTTCTGGTATTTCACTCCCAGGGGAATACCAGAGAGGAAGGAATCGCATGGTTCCCCTGGGCTAGGTTTCTCAGCGGGGTTTCTAGGTGTAACACTAAAACACTGGGTGTAAACACAGACTTTCAAGGAGAGTCCCTACACCATTGCCTTGCTGACAGGCATGGGAGAAACCAAACACCCAGAAAATTCTGCTTAAAACCACAAATATTGCAAACCAAAGGAATCAATCCTAAAATTCTTGCCAAAGAGCCTTCTCATGACTCTCATGTTTAACGATGCTGTCGTGTTTTATTCCAGGCTTCCAGGAGGAATGGTGACGGTGACTCACAGTCACACAGTAACAGCCACAGCTTCAAAACCACAGCGCACATTTTGAAGCTTTGGACTGATCTCCTCCGTGCACATGCAGACAGCTACATGCGTACACAGGGTGCGTGAACACAGCCGGTTAAAGCCGCTGTGATGCTCAGTTGGCCCCAACTCAAGCTAAGCACAAAGCCTATTTTTACGTGTCTTTCACAGTAATTAATATGGGACCTGTGATCTCATCAATAGTCGACCCACTTTCTTGCAGCTGAACAACAATGCTGCCTCTAAAGCAGCAATTAACTCCAGGGTATTTCTGACAAGTCATAGGCAGGGGCTGATCTAATAATATTCTACTACCTACTTCCAACGAACACAAACTCTGGCCTCGTTCCCCTCTGCTCCACAAAACGACAGCAGCACGTCCATTGGGACCCCAAACACTACAGTACAAATCTTTATTTGCTATTTATACAATTGCCCATTATTAAACCCGACCTTATTTTCAGCCGTGTAGAGCACATGTCAGACACCTTCATGAGTCAGCCCAAGCCACGGGAAAAACAACACAACATGATTTCTCCCAGACTGGGCGCCTCTCCGAGAGACGCTCTAACGCAGCCACAAGCTGGCTGGCTGGCTGAAAGCCTCTGACCTGTGCTAGAGGAAAATAATGGTCCCAAATTCGGCATCATTACACATCATTATCCATAATTAATATTCTGATCTTGGTCTTGGAAGAGGAACACTGTGGATGGCACCTTCTCGTAAAAAAGCAACGCTCTCAGAGAACACTAGGTGACTTGCCAATGAGGCCATAGTAACAAATACTCTAGTCCATGTATTTTTCATCATCCCCTTTTTTTTTCCTTCCCTGATCACTGAATGTCCTGAAAAAACGGCAACAGTCTCTGGGTGTGAAATTACTAACAAGTGTCTGCAGTGCTGGCTGCTCTTCCGTGGCATTTTAAAGATGGTGACTAGTCCAAACCCTCCGCTTCGGCTTAATTTTGATCTCTTGGTTTCATGGGGAGCTGAGTTAGATGAGCGTGGAGCACTTCTGAAAATGACATACATAATCTGACATTTCCTCAGCAATTTATATAATGTCTGCACCTCTGCAAATTAATTTTAAATAACATATAGCCTAAGATTAAGCAGGTCAGGAGCATGGAGGAGGAGCACAGTTATCTGGCATTGGCGTCAGAGCAGCCCAGGATGAATTCAGACAGTTACAGATGCACCGTGCTATTTTTAGTCATTTTTACCCAGCTTTCCCCTTGAAAATATGCAGCCAGCTATTAAGAAGCCATGGTGCCAAGTAAAGAAGTTAGGCTAATTTGCAGAGGTAAGCAGCAGCCTGCGGTGCCTGCCTGGCCCTTCCATGGAAGAACCTGGTCCAAAGGGACAGTCAAAAAGCCCCATGAGCAAAAACTAGCTGAAGTTTGGGTTTTGCCAGATGCAGCCTGAAGGCTCAGGAGAGGGGCAATAGGTGACTGAGGGTCTGCGGTATATGGCACTGAACTCTTCAATGCCTTAAATCCAAACAAACCCTCGTGGGAGACGGTTCTTGTGTTCCCGTCCCTCTCCTTCCCACCGTGTCCTACAGCTTTGCGCGCCCTACAAGAATAGATTCAGCCAGCTTACCCAAGCTGCTCATTTGTTTTTTGCGGAGCGCCTCTTACAAAGGGGGTAATCAGATATAATTTACAATGGAGAATCGAAGCGGAAGAGGTTCGGAAGCTGCCTCCAAGTTCACCTGGAAAGATCCTCTGACAATGAAGCATTTGCATGATTCACATCAGGGGAAGATCCAGTATTTGTCACTTCTGACCAAAGAAAATGAAATTAAGGTAGCATGGCAGACCATATTCACTGCAAGTCTAAACCGTGGTGTGACACTTTCCTCCTAGGGAAGAGTTTGACCTCTTGGTGCTCTGCTCAGGGAGCTCGCAGCACCCTCAGCTTATGGCCCTGCAAAGTCTCGCCACAAACAACTCACCTGAAAGGAGAGGGGATGTTAACTGAGGGCAAAGACCTGGAAAAAGCACACAAAACATTGCAACTCCCATGGCTACTGTGCATCCCCACCACGGGAAAGACTGGGTCCACATGTACCGTTATTAGAATCATAGAATATAGAATATCTCGAGTTGGAAGGGACCCATGAGGATCATCGAGTCCAACTCCCTGTGCTCTCCTTCCCTGAACCCTTATCGGTGGCCTTCACTCACGATCTCACTTCTTGTTGCTGTTCGGAGGACTGTCCATCTTCAAATAAGTTCTTTATTATTAGTCAGGTCTCTTGAACCCCCTTTTGTTCTGGAAGCTGCAGGGTACTGGGTGCCAGAGCCAGGCTCTGCCTTTAAGCCTCACCACAACGCACCATCAAATCTCTTGCCAAAGGCTTTTCCCCGCTTCCCTCACCACCCCCCTCTGAAATCAGAGGCACAAGTCCTCTGGGCTTCATGCTTTGCCAACTTCTAGTAATCCTAATTGCCTAATTATCTACTCCAATGCAATGATAAAGCTGCTTAATAATTCTGTTCACTTCTCACTCATTCTCTCCCTTCCCAGATAAGAAAATGCAAAAACTTCACCTTCTGGTGGAGATTTCAATCAGTAATTCATGCCCTCCTGACATCAGTTCTGCCTCCCCTTTCCCCTCTTGGATGCCCTGCTGTTTTATCTTGTCACTTTAGTTTCATCTTATCAGCTTGTTTTAATTATATTCCCTTTTTTAATCATCATCTAAAGCAATTCTGTTTTTCCATGGCAAAACCGGCACATTATCCCTCTGCCCTGTGCGTCTCGCTGTATTTTCAAATCCAGCATTTACATCTTAATTCCAGATCTTCATCTTGATACTGATGAAGGTACATCCGGCACCTTCTCTTTTAATAATTCTCCACCACGACCACCAGACCAGTGGTGAAAATGTGGCACCCAAGCTCCTATACACTCCCCAAAGGGCAGAGAAAAGGGCTGAAGGATGGTTTTATGGCTAAGCTGGAGCTCAGGTAACCTGACCCGACCATTACATCTGTAATTCCTTAAATGCAATAGGCTGAGAGAGCT